CCAGAGAGGGCGCGAGGACGGGGCCGGCAAGGCAAGAGCGGCAACGCTTCCGGGTTCGAGGCGGCGCGCGGTGGCCCCCTGGAGGCCGGGAGGAACGCAGGAGGCTTCGCGGGGGTCTGTGTGGACTCCAAGGGAAGAATTTGTCAGTTGGAAAGGGGGAGGGGTGGGGGTGTGGAGAGCTCCGTCTAAAATAATAAAATTCAAACAGCCTTACAAAAATATCTTTCCCTAACTAGCTGACCGTTGAACGTGTGTGAACGACGGGCAAGGAACTGCAAAAAGCTGAGGGGAAAAAAATAAACCTCTCAGCCATGAAACTCCAGGTGCACCAAAATGCCAATAAGAGCAAATTGATACCTGACCAAAATTTTTTTCCCCGCCAGCACTTTATTGGTCCTGTCATTTTGCTCACCGAGTTAATATGCTATATGGAACCCCTCTGGGGTTACAGGTGGTGGAAGGGAGCAAAGTCAAAATGAAAACAAAAGATTTGCTTCCTTATGAGGGCGATGCCATTAGCAAAAGCCATAGCAATTCCAAATGAAAATACAGTATATATTGGTCATTTAGGCAGAATTTTGACCCAATGCCAGAGGAGAATTGGTCATTTAGGCAGAATTTTGACCCAACGCCAGAGGAGGCCGTGGAAGACAGGAGGGCCTGGCGTGCTCTGGTCCATGGGGGTCACGAAGAGTCGGACACAACGACTAAACAACAACAACGCCAGAAAAATTTAGTTGTTTGCAGTTGAAATACAAACAATTGAGGGAAATATAAATACTGTACAGGGAAGCAAGAAGCACACTACACACCGCATCTGCCGGATACCAACAACACAGGTACTGTACCAGGCACAAGATGATTAGAAGCAAGTGGGAGCAGCAAAGACATACTAATGGATTTCCCTCTACAGTTGCAAATAGCAATGATTTGGGTGAGAATAGGGTTTGATCATTGTTCTTGTGGGTCAGAAAATGCTACAAGGCTACAAAATGTATTTCCTCTTTCATAGATTTTTACTTTTTAAAGGCCCTATATATATAAGGTCCTATATATATAAATATAAGGTCCTATATTTTTGGATTGAAGTGATTTAAGTTCTTATTAAATGTTTCCTCAAAGCTGTGTGCGCGTACACACGTGCAGTGCTGGATCAGGGCCGCGCAGCTGAGCCAGTCTTGGTGCCCGTTTGCTTCTGGTCCGGCTTGAAGCCAACGGGCTCCTGCCCAGCCCTTCAGGAAATAAGAGGGTAAGATGTTGTTCTTACCTATAACCTTTGCAGCTAAAAGTTTGTAACTGAAATCTATTTCAATTTTTTTTTTCTGACTTAAACCGCTGCCCTTAAGTTAAGGTCCATCTTCATTTTTTTTCATACTTTTTAAAAGTATTTGTGCCTGTAGCTTTTTCACATACTGTAGCTGTAAGAAGGTTTTCAATGTACATTTTGAATTGTTACTTTTGGAGTTTTGTCTTGTGCATGTGAAACATAGAAGCAATGGAGGTGAATAAAACTTATAGAAATACTGTAGACAAGCTGATAATGCCTTCAATGATGGCAACAATGAAGCAACTTATACCTTAGATAAATTTGGATATGATTGGAAAAGGTTACAGTATCTGATTTTATAATGGAATTAACTCTTTGAGGGATAAATGGCAGCTGTGATAAATACAGGCTTCTGATTTTTCCTAGTGGTCTATAAAGGTGTATAGGTCTCATAGGAAGCTGTTCAAGTACAGTATCATACTTTCAGACGTGACCTAGGTATTTATACGGTTGCATATGAAGTTTGTAAACTTTTTGACCCAGACTGTGCAGCAGGTAAGTTTGTATCTACTGACAGATCTAATTTTAAGGTAATTTATATTAGGTCAGAAAGTCTGACTTCCAGTGATACAACTATGGCAACAACTATTGCAGAGTGTGTAAATGTTAGCTTTTTAAAAAAACTAGAGCTCTCAAAATCCACAATCATTATGACAAGTGGCCATGGTGGTGTGGGAATTTGTAGATTTGTCATCCGAAGAGCAATATGTACAAAATCTGAACTAATGTTGCTACTAGGTTATACTTTACAAAATCCTATTGCTTAATGTAGCTTGGTGTAGCAAACTTCACTAAAGTAAGCCCATTAAAATTAATCTTTTATAAGATCCATTGATACAAATGGGCCTGCTCTAACTGTGACTTACTTTGCAACTAGAGAATCAATGGAATGTATGAAGGAACTGACTCACCTAATCCCGATTTATTCAGTGAGCCTACTCTAGTGTGATTTACTACCCTAAGTAACAGGGTTTGGGCCACTGTGTTATCCTATTGTTGTTAAAATGGAGAATGAGATTGATAATTATAGTGTAATGTAATATGTACTGGAGCAAAAATCTACAGCTTTGCATAAACATTGGGTGAGGTTGAGCTGTGTGTGAAGTTCTAATAAAGGGATTTATCAATTGTGGTAGAGAATGAATAAAAATGTTGATCCAGTGTGAGATAGCTGTAAAAAATTGCCTTTGGGTGTACATAGAAAAAAGAATCAAAAATTAAAATGACATAACAGATCGTGACATGGCTTTGTCTAGAACTTTGTGTATGGTTCTGGTCACTGCAGCAGAAGAAGGATATTGTTGAACTGGAGAAGTTACCAAAAAAGGGAGTTGGAGGAGCTCCCTGATAAGGAAAAATTACAGTGTTTAGGACTTAGCTTAGAAAAAAAAGGCAAATGGCAGGAGGCACAACAAAGGCACATAATTATGCATGTTGTGGAAAAAGTAGGTAGGGAGAGACTTGTATCTTTTTACAATCCTAGAATCCCCAGCCATCCACTGAAGTTGAAGAGGGGACAGTTCAAAGTAGTTAAACAAGGTACTTGTTCATGCAGTGCATTGTTTTCTGTGGGATTCCTTGCCACAAGATCCAGTACTGGCTGCCCACTGGGATGGTTTAAAAAGCAGATCAGACGGATGCAAGGAGGGTAAGATTATGGATAGTTATTATTCAGAACCATGAATATAATCTTCTTCTCATACCAAAGGCATAGGCTTCAGTGTATCAGTTGCTGGAGACAGGTGCAGTTGCTGCATGTGGCATTCCCATAGATACCTGGTTGGCTGATGTGGGAAGCCTATGTTGGACTAGACAAGCCTCTGGTTTGACCAGCGGGGCTGTAAGTCTTCTTATTCTGCTAAATGGAAGAAAGCCTGGGATAGCCAGGAATAGATGGTTTGCCTGAGGAAAACTGGGCGCTCCATTTAGCCCTAACAACGGGTTAAGAATTCTTTAATTGTAATGGTAAGTGGTGCATTTTGCTCTGAGTTGTAGTTAATGTATCATGGGTATTCTAACAAAACGACAACAAAGATGATCCCATAGACCTGAAGT